TGACTAGTGGAAGATGGGCAACCCTCTACTTTGTAAGAGATTCTAGGCTATTTTAGCCAATGTTTTGTGTTTTCTAGATGTGTTTTAGGAGCTGGATAACTTGGTAATTCCGTTGCTCCTTATCTTTTTGAAAGTCTTGTAGTGAAGTTTCACTTTTTCCATTTGGAGCTTCATGGTCTTTTCATGTGGCTCATTTTTCCATATTGGTTAATCAAGAGCAGTGATCAATTCAGTTGAAATTGCTGTCTTTTTGTGAAGATTGGCAAGTTGTCATAAAGTTAAACTCTCTATTGTTGCCAATCTCTACATTCTTGATATCTGGAAATTGCTTAAAACTCTTGAAATCCGTCTTGAATCTTTCTTGATATTGCTTTGTACTTGTTCTTGAAACAGAAATCCAGGAAATGGATAATGATTATTGGAATCCTCATTATCTTGATACTTGTTTGAAATTAATTCTTGCACTGTCCTTGGAATCTAGTTTGAATTGTCCTTGAAAACGTTCTTGTTCTGACACTGGTTCTTGTTCGAATTCTGTATACTGCTCTTGTTGAAATCCTGCATGTTCTGTTAGTTCTTGTTTCAGTATACCTGATGATCTTCTTGATTTTTTTATTTTTGTTCATATGGACACCTCTTTAGGAGGGGTGACGAAATACATATATGAGGCATCTTGATTCTTGTCTCTTGCAAGTGTTGATTTCTGTATTCTTGATGTCCTAGCTTTGACTTGACTCTAGGATGACCTGATTGAAAATCTACTTAGCCTCGCCTCCATGAGCTACGAGGTGAAGAGGTAATCTTTGAAGTACCTAATGCCCTAGAGTTTTGTTTTGAGGTGCTAGATATTGACATCCTTGTTGTGTTTGCTCTTGAATTCGTGTTCTGGTTGTCATTATTGAAATCTCTTTTGTGGGCTTAATCCTTGAATTCTATTGCTTGTTTCATGGTTAACTCTTGTTTCTCAATTTTGACTACTTGGTTAAATGTGATCTTGATTCTTGGTGAATGTCGTTTTGTTGCCAAATTTTTGAGGCATTCTACCTTTCACTCTTGTGTTCTAATATTCTTCCAAGCATTCATAGTTTCCATTGATTTTATTCTGTTGCAATTCTTGAGATCCTTATACGTCTTTTGATGGGTCTAGTTTTTAACTCTTGTTAATTGCTAAAATCTATTTCTTGATTCCAATTGCTTTGTTAAACATGAGCTTGTTTATTGGTTAATCTTGTTGTGGCAGAATGTATAAGGCATCCATGCACTTGTTCATTATTCATGATCTATATATCCATTGGATGCTTATCCGTCTTTGATAAGAGTTCAAAATTTTATTGTGCTCGTCATTAAATCCATGCCATTCTTTGCCAACTTGTATTGTGATGGGTTCAAAGCGTAACCCCACAATTGTTCTTTTGTGGCTTTGGCAGAATTTATTTTTATTCCTTGTGCTTCCCATATCACCCCAGCCTCTAGTAGCTTGTTTCATGGTAAACCCTGTTAAGTAGTTAGTGTTCTGCTTTTATGATTTGTTGTGGTTTAATATCAGAGTGGCGCAGCGGAAGCGTAGTAAGCCATATCTGTTCATAGAAAGTGATGAGGCAATTGTTTTGTCTCGGATTGTGTGAAGCCATTCACCACTTGATATGGTCCTCAATTTGAGTTTTGGGGACAAAACTCCTTTTTAGGAGGGGTGAATGTAATATCCCAAATTTTTGGGAATATTTAAGTGTGAGTTAGGGACTTGTTTGAGAAAGAAATATTGTTTTGGGCTTAATAGCCAAATTTTGAA